TATGCTGGAAGCCAGAGGGATTTCCCACCCAAACCATCCTATGGTTCTATGAGTTTGTAATTTCAAACAGGCAAATATCCTTCTAAATTCACACCCTGCAAAGTAAATAACTCGTCTAAGAGGAGATATCCAGGAAAAGGCAAAAGAAGAAGAAGTCTTCACCTTTCGATTCAATTCAAATGTCTTCACCTTTCTGCTGTTTTCACTTTTATGTGCTAATATCTGGCACTGGATGAGAAGTATGAGCCTTGATGGTGCTTGTTGGGTAACAGGATGGCCTGTTGACAGAGCTCAGTCTCTCTGCGTGGTGACAGCAGAGATCACGGTGTGCCCTAAGCACCATGGTGTCAGCAGGATCGTGGCATTCCTCCCACCAGTGCCTTTGGCAATGCTGGATAAGCAAATGGCATGGTATGGTGTCAGAACGGACACATCGTCAGATAACCCTTCTGTTGCACTGTCTGTAATCAGTGCATTCCTCTGTCCCAGGGCTTCAGGCAGAGTTCTCAGTACTGCCTGAGCTGGAACTCTGCAAAGGGAAGACACAAGGCAGCATCAGGGTTGGACTTGGTGATCATAGAATCATAGAATGGCCTGGGTTGAAAAGGGCCACAATGCTCATCTAGTTCCAACCCCCTGCTATGTGCAGGTCACCAACCAGCAGACCAGGCTGCCCAGAGCCACATCCAGCCTGGCCTTGAATGCCTGCAGGGATGGGGCATCCACAACCTCCTTGGGCAACCCTGATCCTTATGGATCCCTTTCATCTCGGGTTATTCTAAGATTGATCAATATTTTAGGGTTTGCAAATCTTGAAGGAACCTGATACCTTGCAAAATGTCATCAGATCCTGCCAGAATGGAATTTCTTATTTAATTTGGTCTTCAGCACGATTAAACTTCTGTTGCAGCTTAGTTTCTCAGAATACTTTTGTGTCAATTACATTTAAAGTAAGAAGACAACAGTGTAAAGGAGCCTCTATTCCACAGATTGCAGCAGTAATTGACTGCAGATGTATCTTCTCCAGTATTCTTGCAGCTGGGACATGGGGCTGTGCTAGGTCCAATCTCAGTTTATCTAACAAATTGGGTTTCATGAGGTTTGGCTGACACATGTTCCACTTTGTCTCCTCTACTTTAATCTAAGAGAACTGTTAAAACTTCACCTGGCAAGCTCCTCTCCCAGCCAAATCAACAGCAGGAAGTCCTGAAACCTTGTGAATGAACCAGCTGGCCTAAAACCTAGGGCCAAGTGTGCAGAGTTATTAGTTTTGGAGCTCTCTGGGCTACGTATGCTTGGGTTTTACTGCTCTAAGGCAGAACTCTCCAGTACCTGTGGGATTTTTTGGCACTGCCATGCAGTCATGTCTCTGTCCTTGCCACCTGTTATCAAGATGACATCTCCATCCCTTATCTCTCACTCCTCTTTGGGATGAGAAGAATCCCTATACACTGAAATTCCTTTTGGTCAGATCCTGTCCCCATCTTCCAGAATCTTCAGCTGATGAAGAGTATCTTTGGTTATGCAGAAACAATGCAGAGCAGCTCACGGAGTATTTTAACAGCAGTGCATTGCTCGGTTCATTGCTTTCCCAGGTGTCGCTTTGCATTCTGTAATTATTTCTGCAGCTTCCCTCCAAAAGTGCTCTTAGGATTTAACGGCATCAGGAGGTATAATCTTTGCTCCACATATTTTTCCAATTAAGAAAACCTGAAGTGAAGAGAGAACTCACTTCGCTTAACTTCTTTTTAAATCTAAAGGAAACAAGCTTAGCTCCTCAAGCTTTGTCCTGTGGGAGCCAGAATATTTCTCTGTACATGCACGTCTTTGCCTTATACCTGCTCTTGGCTGCATACTAAGTCCTTAAAGGTCTGTGAACGTTAGGAGAGTTTTCAGGTCCAAGGACCCAGGGGTGTATTTGGGGCCAATTTTTGTTGTTTTTTCCCTTAGCCCTTGCAGGGAGCCTCCAATTATCTTTATTTCATTTGCTGACTCTTTTTCAGCTTTCCCATGTCTTTTTCCGAGACCAGTGGGTAGAAACATACAGTTGGAAACATTTGTGTTCTGGGATACACAGAATGATGTCCTTTCTTTTATTTTCTAAGAATTTAACATTTTTTGCTCATCCTTTTCCATCACGTTTTGCAGCTGTCTTTGCTTTTTGACCTGTGAATGAGCATGGAACTTGAGAACCAGAGAGGTGGCACTGAGGGACGTGGTCATTGGGCATGGTGGGACGGGTTGGGGTTGGACTGGATGATCTTAGAGGTCTTTTCCAAACTGAATTGCTTCTAGGACTCCATCCCCATCCGTACCACTTCACTTTGGGGCCCACAGCTGAGTTGAAGCAGCCATGTCTTGCTCAGCTTTTGGAGCTCTCCTTTTGTTCTTGAGAAGCTGTTGTGGTTACAGCTGTCAATCTGCAGCCGTTGTAGCATCAAGGGCTTGTATGCACAAATTGCTGTAGTGTTTCTTTATGGCATGGGTTGAGTCCTCCTCCCAGGGCTGGATTTTAGCTTGCTCTGCCATCACTGGTTCTGAAAGATTTGTTTTCTTAGTTGCAAGACAGCATGAAAATTAAAATGTGGATTGAATATGAGAGTAGAGCAAAGGAGCCTATATTTGAGTTATTTTTCTGCTTCATGCAGAACCTTTAGTTTCTGCAGTGATGGGCTTTGGAGAGGATGTGGTTTGTGTTCCTGCTATTCAAATGTCTCAAAGCCAGTAAGTCAGCCTATTGCTGTGCATGGGTTTCAGATGTTAAACTGCATTTGTGTTTGCTTCATGCTGAGCAGTGTTGGTGGCCGTGAGCATGGTGCTTCCCCATGGGACTCTCACCTGGACATGAAGATGCTTAACTGGGTTTGTGTGTTTCAATCATGGTCCTTCCATGCAGAATATCCTTCATTTTTTTCAATTTCCATCACCATTTTCTTTGCTTTCCTGAATCCTGTCGCATTCTGTAATAAATCCTTTTGATGATGTGTGATCAACACTATGGCATGCAAGTGAGACAGCCAGTGTAAATATACAGTAAGAATGTTAGGTTCTAGGTTAGGTTCATCTATCCATCCTCACGCATTGCATCACCTCTCTGGCCATTGCCATGAACCCATCAGACATCAGATATCTTTTTCCTGAACTGATGAAATTCATTTAGATCACTACAGGTTCCATTTGTAGCTTCTAGTTTATCCCTAAGCATTAAAACTTCCTGCTTAGTATGTGATCTTGCAGAATTTTTGTTAATTTCTTGCCTGATTACCATTGAATTCTTTCCTTTCCAGCACCAGAGTAATGCCAGTTCTCTGAAACAAGTGTGTGCCAGGGGAGATTCAGGTTGAATATTAGGAACAATTTGTTCTCAGAAAGAGCAGTGGCACAGCTGCCCAGGGAGGTGGTGGGGTCACCAAACCTGGAGCTGTTCCAGAACCATGGGGATGTGGCACTGAGGGACGTGGGCAGTGGGCATGGTGGGGTGGGTTGGACTTGGGGATCTGAGAGGTCTTTTCCAACCTGAATGATTCTATGATAATTGTCTAATGATTTTCAGAACCCTTTCTCGTGGAGTACGTTGAAAATCTCTGGAAATGTGTGGGAACTTCCTTTCTCTGGTGGCACTGAGCAGAGTCACACTGCAGTAATCATTAATGAAGAGTGTTATTATCTCTTGAGTCCTTTCTGCTACGAAAGGATTAGCTTAGCTGCATCTAATCTGCAGTTAATTGCTGCAGGAAGCAATAGTTTAAATAGTCAGCATGCAGGGCTGGTTATTCTTTATAGCAGGCATCATCCTTCTCCCTGGGCTCAAGCACTCTTCTGCACTTTGTTCTTTTTCTTGGTTGTTCAGCCTGGTACTACTATCTGTACTAATTCTTGTGCAGATGTATACCTGAATTTGCTAACTTTCTCTTTTTTCAGCCCGCTACTTCCATATCCAGTCAGTCTCCCAGCTTTAGAGTGCATTGCATAAGAAGCATCTCACTGATCTTCTTGCCTACACATACTTAGTGTCTGTTCTGTTACAGCCATCGTGCAATGCAAGGCATTCCAATTAATGTCATTATGCTTTTTTGGTCTCTTTTGTTGCACTGTTTCTCAGCAGCTGACCAGCTTCTTGTACCTTCAATGGCACTGATTTACCTGGCTTGTTTTACATGTGGTGGGTTAACATTGGCTGCTGGCCCACACAGTACAAATTTGCCAAGACAATGGAGGGAAAACCATGATTGTGAGAGACTGATGCCAGATGGGTTCCCTGGTTGGCCACACAGCATCTCCACTGCAGCCAGAGCAAAATCTTGAGTATCCTGTGCCAAATAGGTATATTTGAGCCACATTAGCAGCTGTGGTTTAATTGCCATCCCTGATTTGCTGGTTGTGAAGGGACTATCCAGAAGTCTCAGTCATGTGGAACGAGAAACTTTGCTTTAGGACTCCACATGGCTAGGACCAGATTTATTTAAGGTCTGTCTGGGATCGTTCAGTGACCATGTATGTTCATGTATTGGTATATCTTCTGTATTCTCACATATCTTTTTTAAAAAGGAACAAACAGTAGTCACAGTCCACTCTGTTTCCATGTCATTTATCCTCCAACTCTTGCTTGGCATGCAGATTTAATCTGATGAGAAGCTGCTATCAGGTAGGTGCCTGACCATAGGTCATCCCAGATGAAGACCATTGCCCGTGTCTGCATTTCCATTTAGATTTCTGTGGAACTTTTTCTCAAGCTACTTCCACGGTGAAAAAGAAATAGACAAGGGATGGAACATCTGAAGTCAGTTACAGGAACTGCAGTTGGGTCTCCAAGGAGGACAGCTGCCTTGTTGATATACAAATAGGAAATCGAAATGATTCTTCTCTTACACAAAAAGTAACACTTGCTAGAGGTGCAATTTTCCTGAGCCTCATGAGATGATCTGAAGTGGTGAGACCTGGCTATTGCATTGCTGGCAAATGCAGAAAGATTGAATTTTCCATGTATTTTTTTCTTTCAGTGTCATCAAGACTGTCACAGACATCCTCCCCTCAGACAAGCTCCCAGTCACCTTCCATCCAGACAGGCAAAGTCATCTCCTCATCCCAGAAGCACAGCAAGAAGGCACTTAAACAGGTAAATGGCATAGTCTGGAACTCAGTTTGGGGATTGCTGCAGTAATTTCATTTCTCTGGTAGACCATCTTTCTAAGGGAAACTGCACTCTGCGGGGCAGAAAGTCAGGACTTCCTGCCTGTTGCATAAAACAGGGCTTTGCTAAATCATAGAATCATTCAGTTTAAAAAAGACTTCTGAGATCCCCAGGTCCAACCCCAACCCACCCCGCCATGCCCACTGCCCACGTCCCTCAGTGCCACATCCCTACAGTTCTGGAGCACCTCCAGGTTTGGTGACCCCACCACCTCCCTGGGCAGCTGTGCCACTGCATCACTGCTCTTTTGGAGAAGAAAAGTTTCCTAATATCCAACCTGAATCTCTTCTGCCACAACTTAAGGTCATCACCTCTTGTCCTAAAAATCATCTCTCTCTCTTAAAGGAGATTCAGAATACTATCTTGCTTGAAAAAGCACCTGGAATTTTATCATTGTTATTTTAGAGAATAAATATGAGATACTGATTTTCATCCAGACTTTTTGACGAATGTGCTTAGCTCTCTATAGTCTGTTTTAGAAAAAGGAAGGTTTTTCTGAGGGAAGAATTAAATCCTTTACCTTATTCTCCTCATTAGGGGCATATTTTCCCTTCCAAGGAATTCTGTGGTCCAGTGTGTATTCATGGAGGTGACAAAGGGGAAGCAGAGCATGCTGGCTTTGCACGGCTCCTCTAGTGAGCGTTATGAGAGAAGGAGCAGGGCTGTGACAGGTACTGGAACAGCTGCCCAGGGAGGTTGTGGATGCCCCGTCCCTGGAGGTGTTCAGAGCCAGATTGGATGGGGCCCTGGGCAGCCTGGTCTAGCATTAGGTGGAATGGTTGGTGGCCCTGCATGTGGCAGGGGGGTTGGAGATTCATGATCCTTGAGGTCCCTTCCAACCCTGGCAATTCTGTGATTCTGTGTGCTCGTATGTAGAACTTATTGCATGCTCTCAGTATGGAACAGATAACTGTACCTCACACAGTCTGGTTCTTTTAATGAAAAAATGCAGGATGAATTATTCCCTTGAGAATCTTATTTGCAGGTGTTTCCCCAGCTGCATTGTTTAGTTTTCCGTGATCCTTAGAAAGGAAGTGCTTTAACAGGGTTAGACTAACTCCTTAGTCAAGCAAAAATCTGCAAGGAGTTATGAATCAAGCTGCAGAGGAGGTGCTAGTCGAGGGATTACAGAAGCTTGTCACAGACAGATGAAATCCTGATGTGTTCTGGATAGGATTTACCTTTTCTTAGCGTGTTTTCCCAGCTTTTCCCAGCTGAGAAACAACACTCAGGATGGTATTCAGCTCTTAGAGATGGCCATGGTGTTTGGAAAAGGATTTGCAGTGAGATAAGGATTCAATTAGAACATACTGTTGAGGAAAATATTGCAGGTGAAGATAAAGAAATGGAATAAACTGGAGCTTTGTTTCCAGCAGGAGTTAGATGGATGTCAAGCCTTTCTTTTTTCTAATTCTCATCTAATGGTTTCCCACTTTCCATCTCTGAATTCCCTCTGCTCCTCTTGCCACCAGCCTTCCCCACCTCTACATCTACCCCCTGCATCTCTGCTCTCTCCCCACGTTTCACCCCACCTTTCTTCTTGCAGTATTTACCTGTGGAGCATTCTTGTTCCAATGCTGACTCCTTGTGTACTGAAATATGTCAGACCTGGTGAGGTCCAGAATTTAGATGGTGTTCTCAGTTTCACTGTTCTCAGCCCTCTTGGGCTGGGGAAGAAAAGTCAGAAAGAAAGACAAATGGGGAAACACATGTTGGCCTTGACACGTAGCATACCTTGATCATACTGCACCATTCTGCAGCTGCCTATAACACCAAAAGCTGTTTCTGATGATCACTGTCTTCCATCACAGCAGCATTTCTCCTTGAATTTTCTTCCCAGAGTAGAGAGTGTATCAAGTTGTAGTGTACTGATAACTTCTGGGCATGCTGGAAAAAGGGTTTTGCTGAAGAGTGCTGTAACCATTCAACCATTCTCACCCACCTGCCGAAAACTCACTGTGGCTTTGGATCAAATGAAGAACACTGCGTGCCCAATCCATTGCTTAATTTTAGTTCCAGTGGAATTCTGCCATTTTGTCCATCTATCACATCAGCCACCTCTTCCTAAACACAATTCCTGCTGTAGACAGGAAAAATTGTGAAAATTAGGTAGAATGATCAAGCATCAATAGCCAGAGGGAGACAAAGGCCTTATGAGTATACTGGAAAAAAACATAATTTTTATTTCCCTCATAATCCTAAAGAAAGCTTTCATATTTTTAATTATACCCAGATTATTTGCTAGTGTGCAGTCGAGTAGACAGCTGGCTGGATTCAGTGCTGGGTAATTATAACATCACTGGAGGGAAGAGAGAGCAGATTTTCTAAGTGAGGATGTTTAACCCTTGAGCACCATATTGCTGCATAAGCCACTTGTTCCTTACAGTCTTTTGGAAGAATTGTGAGTTGGAGATTTGCATTACTGCGATCTAAATTGACAGAGGCATGTCAGTACTCATCCTGGTAGAATGATGAAACACTCCCAGGGAGAATCCTCCTTCATGGTAGTGATTGTGTGGTGATACAGAAAAAAAAGCATTCAGATTCTGAAATTCATAATCCAGATTCAGAAAGATGGGCAGTTTCTCACCCTTGGCTGGAAAATGTAGATGCTGCCCCAGTTCTTTTCTCTGCTCCTCTCCAGTTCACTGACCTCATCTCTTCCTCACACAGCTCAAGCAGCCATCCCAAAGCCATCAGAATTCAGATCTCGTTGGAGTTTTCAGAGATTAGGAGCCACACCCTCTGTATTAATATTGCTTATGCTGTTGGCCTTCATCTTAATCCATTTTTGTTACCTAATGTTGCTACACACACATGGAAGGAGTAAGGCCAGGAGCTGAGCTGTGCTGCACCCTACAGAAGCTCTTGGGTTGGTAAATCAAACACCCACAGAATCATGGAATCGTTCAGGTTGGAAAAGACCTCTGAGATCCACAAGCCAAAACCCAACCCACCCCACCATGCCCACTGCCCACGTCCCTCAGTGTCACATCCCCACAGTTCTGGAACACTTCCAGGGATGCTGACCCCACCACCTCCCTGGGCAGCTGTGCCACTGCAGCACCTCTCTTTACGAGATGATATTTTTCCTAATATCCAGTCTGAACGTGGGCTATGTTCTCTGGCTGAGGTCTGAACCCACAGTCACAACCATATTTTGATGGCCAAGGAGGGTGAACAAGCTCTTTTTTGCAAGGCTTCAGAGCTGGCTGGAACCTGAGCAGAGAATTAACACCCAGCAGTCACCCCTGATGTGTGTGCTGGAGATCTGCCCTGCAGGGAAGGCAGGCAGCGACCTGCACACCTGTGATGAAAAGACAGTCTGTGGATGAGGAGAGAACAGGTTGTTGTAGTCCTTGCCTGCATCAAGGCTGTTCTCGAGCTGTCCCACACCATCCAATGTGCAAGTTCAGATGCTGCAGTCTCAATGACTAGACCATTACATGGGAATTGAATTTGTATTGAATATCTCCCTATCTTTTTTTTTTCAAGCTTCTGACCTCAATAACAGGAGATTAATTGTGCATAGCAGGGAATGTTTACTCCTCCCAATTTTCAATTTGGTTGTTTTTCAGTTTCACTGATTTTTTTTTTTTTTTTTGCCCAGCAGTGCAAGTGACTATTTAGGAACTACTTAATAGATAGAGAAATAGGAATTTGCCATGTCACTTGGTTTTTTGTATCCTCCTGTTGTCAGTCTTCTTCAAGTGGTGCCTTTCCAAACTGAGGGTCTGTCTTCCATTTTCCTCATGTGACAGATTCTGGGGGCTCCTGGGTATTTATATTCCCTCTCCTGCTTATACCTGTATTTTATTATGATTGTATAAGATAGTGATGTTGTCTCGTTAACAGCCCCACTCATCTGTATGTATGCAGCATATTGTTTTCTCTCACTTCCTATTCCTAAATTCTGGTGTGTGCTTTATCTGTTGGAATGTGTTCTGTTTAGTTTTGAGTTCATTTTTTGAAAGCATACACTTTGGTTTGAGTAGCAGCTGCAGTTTAACCAAATTGCCTTCTTACTTCCTTATCACAGCCACTGGTGCTTTTTTGGCAAAGCTGTAGTTGTCTTAACAGCCTTTATTGTAGCAAAGGATTCTAGTGTTCTATTCCTTATTACTTTCCTAATTAAAAAAAAAAAATCTTTCCTAATGGATGTTGTCTCTGTTGAATGTTTTTATTAAGTTGCTACTTGCTTCTCCAGGAGGTGAAAATGAATTACATTATGGAAGTTATACTTTGAAGTTAGTTAGATAATTACCACTTGAATCAGCTCCAGATTTGGAATTCCTTCCTCTAGAGTTATCTTTTTTTAATGTAACAACACAACCTAGGACATTCTGCAACCATTAGCTTTTGGCTGTAGCTGCAAAGGTAGGCAATGTGTGTACCTGCAGTGCTGTATTTAAATAGACAGCATTGGTGTCCCATGCAGAATGAATGAAAGCTTTTTATATGCTCACTGTTAGAATCCAGCTGTCATCTGCTGTAAGTCAAGATGCTTGGACTATGTATTAATGATTTCTGAGAGTATTTTGAATTTCCTCTTCCCCAGGCCTTGAAACAGCAGCAGCAGAAGCAGCAGCAGCAGCAATGCAGAGCAGGCATGCCGGTGTCCTCTAATCAGCACGTCCTGCTGAAGGCTGTCAAGGCAGCCAGTGCCTCCACACCTACAAAACCTGGTACGCAACACTCCTGTCCTGCTCATTGTTATTGTCACTGTCATTGTAACTTGCTTTCTCTTTCTCTTAGGGGAGGAAAGAATGAAGTCCTCTTTTCAAGTGATTTTGTTTCTGAAATATTTTAGTTCCTTTCTCCCTGACTTGGACTTTATTAGGAGTGCATTCTGTTAAGAACAGATCTTGAATGGTTTTACTGTGCCATCATCCTGTTCAACATCTTCTTTCTGTGACAAATGTCATTCCCCTTAGTTGCATACGCACTGTAGTCGGGTCCTTCACATGGCTAAGCAAATTAGGCAGAGTTTCTTTTAGTATTCATTTCTTTCCAGACTGCCTTTTCATTCTGTAGTGTGGCTTTCATGTCATGTTCCAAAGATGTATGTTTTTACCTGAAAGATTCTGAAGTGCTTTCCTGAAATTACACTACATTCGAAATGAGTGCGATCACAGAATCATCACAGAATGGCTTAGATTGGAAGGGACCTTAAAGATCATCCAGTTGCAACCCTCTTGCCATGAGCAGGGTTGCTCTTCTCTTTCTTGTTCAACAGTATGTTTGCTTCCTTACCAGCAGCAGGTTTTCACTGCTCATCACAAGTTCTATGTGGTTACTTCTGGCCAGTTATATTTAAGTTCTTCTCATCAGAACTGCATTCCAGGATGGTTCTGTAGGCATGATTTAAGTTGTTAAGATGCAGCAAATTGCTTCTGTATTTTTATTGCATGGTTTATACCAAGCCCAAGGTGCTGCAGGGCCTGGGGCAGACGTTTCTTTCTCAGTTGGAAGAGTCCTGCTGTCCATCTTACTCCTTCTATAAACTTTGTGACGTAGAGAATTAAAACCCTACAGCACATTCAGGGTGTGGATCCATTCTGAATTTGTATGGTGTCATGGTATTCTAAACTTTGTTCCTTTGCTAACCATCCCTAGCATGTGCTTTATCTTTTTTTGACCTGGCCAAGAGCAGGCATTTTCCTAGAACTGTTAAAGTTCCAAGACTCTTTCCTGACTTATTTTCTATTTTAGGGCCAAACACTGCATGTGTAAGGTTAGGAGAGTTGTTCTTTTTGTACATCACTTCTGTTTCTGTGCAGTGAATCACATCTGTTCTTCTGTCACTCAGTTATCCATTGGCATGAAGTCCTTCTGCAGCAACAATGGGGGACTGAAATCTCTACCAAAAAGCAAAGATCTTCTCTGGTTCAGTCCTGCTGATTCTGATCCTGCAGCACATATTCAGGTCCTGTCTGAAGTCCCAGCACTTAGCCCCACTCTTAACCCCACAGTTTACCCATTATTATGAGTAAAATGCTGTGCTTTCTTTCAAACTCAAACACTTCCATGAGTGGGAAATTCCCTCCTTCTTAATATTGACTCTGTTTTTCCATCATTAAGCCTTGATTTACATGGCTGACCTTCATTCATCTCAGAAAGATGATGACCATGAAAATGGAACCACTGAGAAAAACACAGCAAGAGTGCTCACTGTAAAAGGTTTCTGTCACAGATGAAGCGAGTGAGACTGGCAGCCATGAATCATAGGTTCCAATTCAGGTTGGAAAAGACCTCTCAGATCCCCAAGTCCAACCACAACCCACCCCACCATGCCCACTGCCCACATCCCTCAGTGCCACATCCCCACGGTTCTGGAACACCTCCAGGGATGGTGACCCCACCACCACTCTGAGCAGCCTGTCCCAATGCCTGACCACTGTTTCAAAGAAATTTTTCCTGATATCCAACCTGAACCTTCCCTGGTGCAACTTGACGCATCACTTTGCATTCTATTACTAGTTAACTGAGAGAATGGCTGCCCAAAAAATGAGAGAGAAAATACACAAAAGACCACAGCAAAATTACATTTCCAATCTCAAACGCTCAGCTGTTTCTAGTCTTCTTAAAATTAACTTTTTGCCCTTCTTACAGCCAGGGAAATGCCCAACACCACCACTTAGTTTACAAGTATGGAAGTAGCCAGAGAGAACTGCATAGCAGTAATACAGTAAAGTAGCAGTTGTCACATGAGCATTTTGCTGTTTGTGGCTGGATTATCTTGTGTAATTCTATGAACTATGCTGCAGTTCACTGGTCATGTTAAAAATTCCACAGCCATCAGAAACTGGCACTAAGAGTACCCCTGAGAGCTCATCTTGTCCACATCCTTTCCTCAGGGCAGGATCTGCTGTGCTGACCTGACAGATGCTTTCTTCACTCTGTTCTCAGAGACACTGTTGCAAAGGCCAGAAACCCCCAGCAAGTCTTGACCTTCCTTTGTTAACTTTGTTAAATTGTTTTTATCAGTCTTCAATCAAAATTTTTCCTTGGTTTGGTTTAAAACCAAGATTTCCTTCCTGTCCACTGTGGAAATAGAAGGTTATTTGATCGTTTGGTTATTTGATATCTTCTCTCTACAGCCTTTCACATAACTGGAAATGTTGTCTCATCTCTTGCTCATTTTCTTTAGTATAAAGTTCTTCCTGTGTTTTAGAGTGTTTGTTTATTTTCCCTTTCCAAATAGCCCTAAAGAAATCCAAACCAAAACTAGACCAATCTGTCCTGGCTTGCTGGTTATATACTGCTGGAATGTTTCTTAAACATCTGTTCAGACATATGCAAGGTTGCAGCCATGTGCTGTACATCCATTTGAAAGAAATGGTCATACTTATCAGCTGTGCTTCATGCATCATTTAAAGGCAGAGTAAGTGATGTGGGTATTGAATAGTTGATGATGTTTTCTGTTGTTCTCAGGCAGCTCTGTAGTTCAGACCCTTTCTAAAAGGTTCAGGGAAAACCATTAGTCTTGTGTTTGTTCTAAGCTGTGGTCCTGCTCGTGCAGCCTGGGATGCAGTTACCTTTGGTTGGCATGGTGGTGATGGGTTCATGGTTAGACTTGATGATCTTAGAGGTCTTTTCCAACCTCAGTGTTTGTTTCAGTGATTCTGTCAAGCATTTCTCCCCAAGTCTCACCAGCCAGCCAGCTACAGTTCTGTCATTCTGTGATTTTTCCCTTCCATTTGTCCACCCATCCAAACCTAATGTCTCAGCTTGCCTGCAGCATTTCAGGACACAATGTCAAATGTCTTGCTGAAATTGAGGTAATTGGCACCCACCTGTCTTCTCTCGTCCACAAACCCAGTCATTTGATGGCAGAAGGTAATCAAGCTATTCAGGCATGATTTACCCCTGCTAAATCCACTGCTGACTGCTTCCATCTCCTTCGTGTGCACAGAAATGTGCTCCAGTGTGGCATTCACAGGGACGAATTCACAGTGACTGGCCTATATTTTCTCAGTTTGTATTTTTCACCCTTTTTGACCTTTGTGGGTGCAACATTTGCTTTGGAGTTAAGGATTAAACTCATTTCACACATTGTCTCAAGAAAATCACAGAAAAACTAGGTTTGGAAAAGCCCTCTCAGGTCCACATATCCCTCAGTGCCACATCCCCACGGTTCTGGAATACCTTCAGGTTTGCTGACCCCACCACCTCCCTGGGCAGCTGTGCCACTGCATCACTGCTCCTTATGAGAAGGAATTGTTCCTAATACCCAACCTGAACCTCCTTGACTGATATATTTCCCAGCTTTTGCTGTAGTCCCTCTATAATTGGACTTGTTTAGTAGAAACAGTGTACATTCATGCACCCCCCAATTAAGCTCTTAAATGGAGACATGTTGTTATCTGTAAACCTAAAGAGAGGAGGGAAGACCTGGTCGTGTTCTTATCTCATCTCACTTAGAAAGAGAAAAGAGAGGCAGGCAGGGAGAATCTGGGGAAGAAATCCTTCCCACCAGCAGAATATAGTAGTGCTGTGCAAAAAGGAATGTGGGTGGCACTGCTTTGTAAGGCAAAATCATCATGGTGAAATCACCAGCTAAGTAGTGACTTTGGGGGAGGACATGAAAATATCTGAGTATTTGAAAGGGGAGGAGGAATTACTGAGGTTGGTTTAAAATAATAACATTTAGAATAAAAGGTAAAAAATTAGAAAGTACACATAAGGTATGAAAAGATTTTTTGTGACAGTGAACTCTGGTAGAAATTAAAGCTGCATCTGAAAGGACATTTTAACAAGATCATTACTGGGCTGAATATAAATGGGACTAGCAGGAAAATAGACTCAAACCATAACTGAAATGGGTGTCCATCTCTTTATTTTGTCTTTGTTTTGTGATAATGAGAGAGCTACAGAGGGCTGTTCTGCTCTCAGCCTTCTGGGAAATAAGTGCTACAAGAATAAAGGAGTGTAAATATCATAGAAGTGCTTGTCCCAGAGCTGCTGGGATTGCAGTGAGCGTGTTAAAGAATCTTTATTTCAGTCCAAACAGATGTCTTGTATAATATTTCTTTGTATATCCCTGTGTTGAACTGTTTCAATTTCCTGTGCAGCTTGGGTAGGAAAGCAGTCCGATGGACACTCAAACAGCTCTCAGAACTCCACCTCCAGTTCCTCTGCCTCTGTTAAGCTTGACAACTCCTTGCCAGGGCTGGGGAAGAAACCATTCCAGAGATCTGACAGGCTCCACGCAAGTAAGACATTTATTTTTTCTGATTACGGAGATTTAGTTGTTGTGATGACAGAACAAAAGGCAGAATAGCAGCGTTGACTAAAACATGCGATTAATTCCATTCCTGCAGTGATTTGTGGAAGGCACTCCCAGTATTCTGAGTGAACTAAGAGAAATAATTCAAACCTTTCGTGTACAAATAAGCCTTTGCTCATTTTGTAGCATCAAGGGTTTCTACCTGTGAATTTGGAGCTCAGTTTGAGAAGCAAAGAAGGATTTGCATTATTTTGAAGGCTTTTCATATGTACTTAAGACACTATGGTAACATACAAAGAGGAAAAAATATTCCTTCCCAGATCCTTCAGGCTTCAGTGTTACTTAGCTTCCTTCCCATTCATCTTTCTCAACTTTCCTCAACTTTTGTAGTTTCTTTTGCATATACCAAGGATGGGATTGACCTTGGTTAACACTGCTCCATCCATGCTAATCATCCCAGATTTCCTTTCTCACAGGTGAAGAACAGGCACTTTGAGGGCGTGTTTCATTTGCTCTCCATTAGATTCTGTCTTACTGCAGGATGATTTGTGCCCTGAAGATCTGACTTAGGGAAGCCTAGGAAGCTAGCTGAAGTGCCAGTCTCTGCATGTTAGACATCTTTGTAGATTTGGTGGAATAAAATAGAGTGCTGTCATGTGAGTGGCACCTTGACCTGCCTATAGAAGTCACAAGGAAAGGAGGACACAGTGTTCTCATTACATACTGGACCAGAATCCCATCATTTGAGAACTGTTCACCCACAAATCCTCTGAGGCTTCTCTCTTTCCCCGTTCCTTCTCCCACACCACCACCTCAAGGCTCAGACCCATTTACAGAGCCACATGAGATAAGGTTGCTTTTACAGTTATTACCTTGGCCGTTTAAAAAGGATTGTGATCCACTGATGTGGAAGAATTTCCAGGTTCTCAAGTTCATACAAATGAAATACTGGAAAAAAAAACATAAGGCAGAGGAATGCTCTGGTGCCATTTCTGTATATGAACTCTCAATCAGATGGGAACCACGCAGCCAGGTTGAGATGCTGCTCTCCAGCTCAGCTTCGGCTCACTCTGTAATCAGGAAACTGCAACTCTGATAAATCACAAACCTGCATTTCCTGAGGGAGTCGTGTACGTGATAGAAATGCTTTCTTTGCTTTTATTTTCTGAGTTTGCAGCTGGCTGTAGCATAAGAGTTAATGCTAAATATGTTGGCTTTCAAACGCAGAAAAGGAAAGAGGATTGCTCGTTTTTGCTGCTTTGTCCAGGCTTGTGGTTTCAACACAAGCAGAATGAGCTGCTTTTAGTGAGAGTAAAGCGGGAAAGTCCAAGAAGAAATCCCTAAGAACAATGTGACCTTAACTGGAGGCTTAAAATAGAAAACTGGTGTGGTGCAGAAAAAAGCTTGTGCAGAAACCCTTCTGAAAAATAGTTCTTGCCAGCTCCCAGATAGACACCCAGGCTTCCTAGGAAATCCAGATGAACTGACCCAGGGTATGATGCAGTAGGAAGAATTCAGTGACAGAAATGACCTCCCACATTTTGTTTTTAACTATATGTATAACCTTTTGCAAAGGTAAATGGTGTATTTCAAATTAAGGTTTGAAGTGGACCTCTGAAGTGCTCTTTGGGAGCCTTAATCCTCTCATAGATAAGATGCTACTCTGTTCTCTCTGGTTCTTTGCAGGGCAGCTGAAGAGAACAAAGTGCGCTGAAATTGACGTGGAAACTCCCGACTCCATCCTGGTGAACACCAACCTGAGGGCACTGATCAACAAGCACACGTTCTCTGTTCTGCCCACAGAGTGCCAGCAGCGCCTGCTGCTGCTGCTGCCAGAGGTGGACAGGCAGGTGAGTCGTGGTTTGGGGGCAGAGAAAAGGCTCTTGGTGTCAGTAGGGAGTAAATCTGATGAGACACAAAATCATAGAATCATAGAACGGCCTGGGTTGAAAAGGACCACAATGACCATCTGATTTCAACCTCCTGCTATGTGCAGGGTCACCAACCAGCAGTCCAGGCTGCCCAGAGCCACATCCAGCCTGGCTTTGAATGCCTCCAGAGATCATCCAGACATCCAAGTACTACATTAATCTCTAATGGAGTAGACTTTTTTTATTCTGTGTACCGTGCAAAATATTAGAAAATTCTTCTATGTTTCCTTTGGGTATTTGTTGCTACCAGATAAAAGAATTCAAGTTTGATAAATCAGTGACTTATTTCCATCCAGTCAATGCTATGTTCCCAGCTATAGTGAGGGAAGTGTTTTGTGGTGCATCAGACTCCACGAGGAGCAAGGTGGTCTCAACATTTTCTTCTCCTATCCTCTCCCAGACCCTTTGGTACAGGATTAACCCTGTAGTTTTCTGGACAGGTGCCTTCCCAATACCTAAACAGACACTGGAATTCAGTTCCATCTTCTTCTGTTTCTCATTATCTCGTATCTGTTAAGGCACCAGGCACACAACAGGAGCCAGCTATGGAGGCAGTTTGTTTTTTGCTGATGATGTGCTCAACACCTCTGTGTGTTTGAGGAAAAGGGCTTGAAAAGCCAGAAAAGTACTTGGTGGGAAGGAATGGGATCCACATCAGGTGGATCTGATGAATTCCATCCTGAGGGATACAAAACAACCTGCTTGAAGCAGTCTTAACATCACAGCAGTTTTCTTCAGCAGCCAGTGGATCCAGGGATGATAGAGATAAGACCAAAGGGATAAGACCCTTGCTTGTAAAAGGAGGAAAATACAGTGAGTTCAGGGAGTGAAGTTCAGTCTGTTTGTGCTGAGTACCAGAAAGGTTAGAGCTTGAACAAGGATACTTCCTTTTGCCTTCATCATATGATGTGTTGATCATCAGCATTCCTACCTCAATGGGCCTGGGAGCTTCCAAGCAACATGGGATTCTGCACTGTGCTTCCATGGGATTCTGCACTGTCCTTCCACTTCTGTTGTAGGGATGTTCATTCATACAGCTTAGAGCAATCCTGAACATCCTGCAGACACCAAGGCTGGCTTTGGGACATCCTGTATCAGATCTGAGAGTCCCTTGAAGATATTTTACTGTGTCTGTTCAGATTAGTGCTACGTGCCAATTCGCACTCACCTCAGTCACTCCCAAGGGGTCTGCATCTCAGCTGTAGTTATTCCAGGTTCCTATAGAAAGTGGAAATCCAGTTGGTACAGTCAGCAGCATGCAGCCAAACCAGCTGCTTCACAACGAAGCCTTTTTGTTTGTGCTGCTCTTCTGCAGCTCACGGAGCGTTGATAATGCATATGGGTCACACAGCTGCACTGAGGTCTGCTTTGCAGAGGGTGCTGTCTTGAGCAGATCCATTAGGAGTTAGGAAGAGTTGTAATGTTGTGTCATAAATTCTAATCTTCAATCAGACTCGTCAGGGGCTTGTTAGTTCAATAAATAATTGGAGGACTTGCTTTTTAAGTCTTGTTGCCTTTGCAGTAGTGAGGTATGTGTCAAAGTACGATGTGATGGAGTTTGCAGCTGGAATTTATTGGCAAGAAGCTCACAGCAGATGGCAGGACAATTCTGTCCCAACTTTTAAGTTTAATTATCCTTAAATTCAATTAGAATTTGACTGAGAACAAATTTTGATTATCTAAATAATGCTGCTTAGCTTCTGAAAGGGCTCATTTTGCATTTCACTGTAGTAAATCTCCCACCCCCACAGTGACGCACTCCATAGCAATGTCAGACTCTCCTGTAGTAAACAGAAGAGGTGAAGACATTGGATGTGCCAAATGCAGAAGGTCCCCTCTCTGTTGTGTTTGTGTGGAAGTGGCTTAGTGCCTCTCTCAAAGTGGGCACTTACTGAGACATAGCCCAGGCCTGTGCCCCCACATAAGGTATGGGCAGCACCATATGTGCAGCAGAGGATCATCTTTGGAGTTCCACTCTTTGGCTGGTCAATATTGATTGGGATTAGAAAAGGAATCTCTCCTTCTGTACATCTCTGTAGTGGTTCTGCAGCTGCAAATTACTGAATGTGTCTTTTTGTGTTTCTAACAGAAAAGAATTTATTATTATTACTATTTATAAATAAACACATTTATTTCTGTGTGCTGATCATTTCCCACCGTGCTGTGTTCCACTCTTAGCCTTATGCTTTTGCATTTATGTCCTACACTGTAATTTGACCATCCTATTTGGTTAACTGTATTTTGAAGACCGAATGAGTTTAGACTTCACTTGTCCCTGTTTTTCCAGAGGCAGCTATGATTATGTTTATAGGCATTTCAGAGTTACTTTAACCTGACAACTTTTATATCCCTGCTTTTCCCAGAAGGCAGCAGAGCTTTTGCTCTGGACAGCGATTCAAGGCAATGTCTTGCATTAATTTTGCAGGGCAGAATGCATTTGAAGAAGCTGTTCATGGGCTGTGCTGTCCTGTTTCCTTGCACTTCTCCTTGCCACCTGTATCTTGCGCTGTTTGTGCGTGTTTGTGCAGCAGCAGAGCTGGATAGGGTTGGGCTGAAGCAAAGAAGAGGAAAATTTATCACAATCTCCTGGATCCCGGACTTTGTTTCTTTTCTTCTGAACGAAATAAAGGCCGATTGTAGAGAGATTTGTGGCAACATTGCAATCTTGCTCTGTTTTCAGACAACACAACACGTGACATTTGCCTTTTCAGCTAATTATCACTGTTTGCTTTGTGATGTATTCCAGGTTGGGGCAGATGGTTTGATGAAGCTGAGTGGTTCAGCGTTGAACAATGAGTTCTTCACTTCAGCTGCTCAGGGCTGGAAGGAGAGGTTGTCAGAAGGTAAGACTTCCCATAGCAAAGAAGGAAAGTGTTACAAGGCTTTTAAGCTCACCAATGTTTTGGGAAATGTGTAAAATAAATTTGACGGAGAAACTGAAAGGCTGGATAAGTTCCTACGTTTAAGACAGCTGTAGGCAATGTAGCCCATAAGAGCGAGTGCAAGCCTAGATGTATTTCCCTTTAGTGGAGAAATACTGGTGGTTGGTTTATGGTTGGACTAGATGATCTTTGGAGGTCTTTTCTAGCCTTGGTGATTCTGTGATCTTATGAACTGCAGGTCACAGTAAGGACTGCAGTAAGAAGTCGTCTTCTGAACTTTATGCGTGGAAAAATGAACAAGTATGTGGAAGAAATGGCAAAAGAATGAAAAACGTTTTTAAAATGTTGATGAAATGACAGTAGAGTTTTGTTATTATCTAGCCAAATACAGCTCAGTAGAGAAGGTAAATTATATTCCCAGTTAATGCACTTTATCATCAGTAAAGTGATCTTGTCATATCTGGTACTGTCAGTCCTCCAAGACGTTGTTCTTTACATACCATAAAGATAGCCAAGTACAGATACGTAGGATGCCTGCACCTTCAACAAACATTTGCATCTCAAACTCAGAGGTGCTGAATTCTTTAATTTAATCGAGCTATATCATCACAAGTGCACTCACTCCTTGGCAGGGACTGTTTCCTCTACAGAGCTCAGCCACACAGCCTCTCATCAGCGTTTTTATGAAGGCAGCAGCACCAGCCATGACTCAAGAAGGGAATGCCATTTACTCATGTCCAGACAATGGATTCTTAGGAGGTTTTTCCATAGAAAATGCATCCTATTCTGTATCATCATTTATGTTTTGTGGGTGTATCTATGACAGTAAGCAGGCAAGGAACAGAATTCAGCTGTCTGTACTTCGTAATTGTTGGAACCGTCTGTAATTTTGGCCCTCATCCTTTGGTGTTTTCCCTTTAAAGCTTAACTGAAGACTTTTCATCTATTCATGACTCCACATCTAAAGGGTACAACAGTGTCCAATCACCAGATTATAAACACTACAGCTGTAGAACCTTCTGTGCTGATAAAGCTTGCAGCAGTCGAGCTGAAGTCTGGAGATGTCCACTGCCATTCTCACTAAGCAGCATATCACTGCTCAGGTCTCAAAGCTTGATGCCACTGCAGGCAGAACAGGCCTGTAGGTTTTCTTTGGCTGCATCTAATGCACTCAGGCCCTCAACTGTGAATGTATAGTCAGACATCATTACTGTAGATAGAATCAGCACAAGCTGCCAGATTGACATCAGTACCTGAGGAGAGATACAGGTCAGTGGTCTTTCTAAGCTGAGGTCAGAAGCTTAGGATATCTTCATACAGCAGCATTTGTTTGTAGAGGAGGTTCGGGTTGGATATGAAGAACAACGTCTCCAAAAGAGCAGTGATGCAGTGGCACAGCTGCCCAGGGAGGTGATGGGGTCACCGTCCCTGGAGGCATTCCAGAACTGTGGGGATGTGGCACTGAGGGCAGTGGGCATGGTGGGGTGGGTCAGCAGTTGGATTTGATGATCTTGGACAACTTTTCCAACCTTCATGATTCTAAGATTCTGCAAGGCATAAAGTGGTATAGAAATGACAGAAATAGTTTGTCACCATGGGTAAAAATTTTCAGAACCATCAAAATGATTTCGGAGCAGATGGGCTGCGTTTCAGGGAGCTGAGGGAACTTCCAGTGCCTGAGAGGCCCCTGCCCACCATCCTGAAAAGGAAGTGAAGACTGGCAGAAATTTCCCGCAACTAAGAAAGGCAAATGTTGCACTCACCTTCAAAAAGCACAAAAAAGGTCATTTGAGAAAATGCAAATCTGGTCAGTCTCAGTTTCATCGTGGTGCAAGCCTTCTTGTAGGACATTTCTGGGTGTGTGAAGGAGAAGGTGATTGGGAACACTCAGCAAGGATTCATTTCTTGCCTGCATGGCTTGACTGCCTAAAAACCCCTGAATTTGTGAATAAGCAGAGATCAGTAGGTGTCATTCACATCAACATAAGCAAAGCTTTTTGGCACAGCTGCCCAGGGAGAATCAACATTTCTGGAGGTGTTCCAGAACCATGGGGATGTGGCTCTGAGGGGCAGTGGGCATGGTGGGGTGGGTTGGGCTTGGGCTTGGGAATCTTAGAGGTCTTTTCAAACCCAAATGATTCCCTGATTCTGCATCTGTCTCCCACAGTATTCTTGTATCCAACCTTCGACATTAGGGTGTAGGTGACTTCATAGCCACCTGAGAGAGCAGCTTATGGGGTGTTCTGCCTCGTAATTCACACCTGGATGCTGGTAGCACATGGAGCACACAGATTCGTCTCAGCACCCCACACACTTAGGGCAGTTTGCAGAGGACACCAGATAGTGGGCATCAGTTGATGTGCTTGAGGGCAGTTGCCATCCAGAAGAATCCAGCAAGGAGCAGGCAGCAGAGGAACACCTTGCAGCTCAGGAGAAGTGTAGGGCTGCACTGTCGAAAGCTGTGGAGGGCTTCTGTGAGACAGGACTGTCTTCTGCAAGCATGAGGGCTCCTGTGGTCATCCTAATTCACTTTATCTATAGCTTGTTTTGCACATGACCCTTATTGCATTTTGCAGGTGAGTTCACACCAGAAATGCAGCTAAGAATACGTCAAGAAATAGAAAAGGAAAAGAAGGTTGAGCTGTGGAAGGAACATTTTTTTGAAAGCTACTACGGCCAAAGGTAAGGACCTTCAGCATCTTTTTTACCCCCACCACTGCCTCTCAGGACACACTTATTCCTGTGGATTTCATGTGCTGTCCACCAGTAGACATTACCTTTTATCAAATCTCAACAAGATCTCGCTTCATTAGATTCCCAACTTGTTCATTTCTTGTGTAAATAAGGGTGGATGAACAGGACAGGCAGTGTTGGTTCTAAGCAAAGGGTACATCAGTGGTTCTGCAGCTGGCCATGTTCTTCTGGAAAAATAGGGGGATGCTTTTCAGGAACCCGGAGTCCCTTTCAGCAAATGTCACCATGTAAGCTGACGTCAAATGCAAGCTGTGTGGGGCATTTTGCATATGGCAGAGATAGGCCTGCAGGGACAAGGAAAGGAAATGTTTACTGTTGGCCAAATTCTTTTGGTTTGCAGCTTGGAAAATGAGTATCTGGGCAGAGGATTAGATCTAATGCGTGCTCCACGTATTTTGTTTAGTTGGTTTTAAACATTGCTATTAAGTTCTGTTTCACTTGGAAGCACTAACAGTAGTGAAGGATTTCAAAGATCATGGCATAAAATCAGTAAAAGTTACATTTACTTTGGGTATGGTATTTAGACAGCCCTCTTTGTTTTTATAAGAATAGCATGTTTTTTGCAAGAATGTTTCACAAAACAAAAATGCTACTCTTTTTGTTAGTTCTGGATTAAGTCCTGAAGAGTCTGAGAGACTGACAGCCAACACCAGCGCTGATGACGTAGAGGCTGAAAAGCCAGCAGCAGAACAGCCAAAATGTATGCCAGTCAAAGAGGAGATCACTTCTCCATTGGAGTCTAAAGCACAAGTGGTCCAGGAAGCACCCACAGTGAAAAAAGGAGGAGAGGAGAGAAGAGGAGAGGAAAGGAGAGAAGAGATGCAGCCCAAAGCAGCCAAACCTGTCGAGGCCTCAGTTTCCCCAGCTGGGTGTGCAGCGAAGCCCAGTGACCCCCAAATCCAAGAGAGAATCCAAGGAGAACCCATCCAAGAGAAACCACAGCCTGCTGTGAGCCAGAAGCTGGAAGAAGAGAGGAAGCACGCTGCATCAAAGGAAGTGAAGGAGGCTGTGCATGCTCCAATCTTGGCCCCAAGCAAACCAAAGAGCCCTGAAGCAGGTGAAGCAACAGCAAAGGTGACGAGTCCAGTAGTCGCCCCACTGACGCCAGAAAAGAAACCCCCTGTAAATGAAGAAATGGAGGTCAGTGTTGAAGGCCATAAGAGGAAGTCGGAGAGCAGTGAAGAAGCTCTGACCACGCCTGAGAAGAAGCCGCGCATTGCGGAGAAGTGCCAGCAGCAGCAGCCGGCGTTTCGCAGCCAAACGCAGTCCTTTCCTGCTGCCGGGCCCCCAGTGCCACGCGTGCCCCCCCTCAAGGTAAGGAGAAAGGAAGGCAGATCCACAGAGTGGGTTTGTGTTGGTCAGCGCTGCTGGGTCAGCTCAGTTCTGGTTCTGCATGCAAGTTACGTTGCCTGCTTATTACAGTGATGGAAGTGCTTGATCCAAAAATGCAAAGCTTAGCTGTGTGCTAAAGGGAATTGAGTTCAGTCTCCTGTTACAAGACCTGCTCAACCAGGAGCTCCAGCAATTGCAGGACCAAAATCACAAAGGGAGCTGCAGCCTAGGAGCACAAAGAACTTTGTAGGTGTATCCTCACTGGGACAAGAATAGGTCTAGAAAGAATGCTGTCAGCAGTTTGCTCTACTATATCAAGTCCAGAAAGTAAACTGTTGGCCTGTGTTAAAAATAAATCCCAAAATGATGCGGTTATCATTAATGCTGAATGCAGTGAAGTATCAGACTGGGTAGCAGAGGTCTATTTTAGGGAAAGCCCTTTATCTGCTGAATCTTAGCAGGAATCTACATACAAAAAGATGACGTGGTCTTCAGTAGTCACAGGCGTGGATTGATGGTTGGAATAGATTATCTTATTGGTCTTTCCAACCTTTATGATTCTGTGATTCTGTAAGTTAAGCAGTAAATTACCAGAAAGGAAAACAGAAACGAAGCGTGACAGTGACAGAAGGGCTGCAGACTTTGGCCTGAGCAATGCTGTTCTCTTGTACCTCAGACATAGGCCATAGGAAACACACCTGCTATTGAGCTTCCAGGAAATTCCCAGCTCAGCTCCCTTGTTTGGGACCTTAGGCAGAAACTGTGTATGGAAAATAATTCAATTGCTCTATTTCTGTATGTTCTAAGAATTCGAATCTCTCATTAAGATTAGGAGGTAATTGGGAGTCAGCAAAGTATCGTGGATGTGTGAAAATAAATGTGACTTTAAAGGATATGAGCTTAAGTCGTTGGAGATGAGAGAAAAGCACTACTATGAGTGCACTGATCTCATTATTTCCATTTTAGGAAGAAAGGGCGATCACACATAAAGTATACTGCAAAGGTGAGGGGAGTGGAGAGCATGTGTTACAAGACAGGACTAAAATTTGGCATTTTATGTGAAGATGCACAGCAGAGCATTCATAGTTCATAGAAGGACAGTGAAGAGTGAAACGTAGACATGCAGGGGTAGAAGAGTAATTCACAGATGTACAAATGGATGTAAGTTGCTTATGTGTAATGTTAACTGAAACCTAGGCTAAAGGTTGAGAGGTGTTGAATTTTGGTCGCTTTTGATTGAGCTCAGTAGGCTTTGTAATGATGGGGCGTGGGGGAACAGCCTGTACCTGCAAGGGAAGAGCTTCCAGCCTGAGTTAATGAGGTGATAACAGACCCAAAATAGGCGTGCCAGACATCAAAAGAATGTGGACCTTCTTCTTTGTATTCTTCTCAAGTGAGAACTCCAAAAGCATTTATCTAAAACTTCAACCATAAACACTTCTGTCATTAATGATGTGGGTTAGACATTCCCTGTATATCAATTCCCCTTTTCTCCTCTCTTTCAGATTCCTGTTTCCCGAATCTCCCCCATGCCATTTCCTGCGGGCCAGGTCTCTCCCAGGGTACGTTTCCCAGCCTCACTCATCAGTCCGGCCAGAACAGGGGCCAGAACCTTGGCGGACATCAAGGCCAAAGCCCAGCAGGTCAGGGCCCAGAGGGCAGCGGCCGCCGCAGCCGCCGCCGCCGCTTCTTCGGGGGGAGCAGTGCCAGGGCCGGGCCCCGGTGGGGGCCCAGCAGGCGGCGGAGGGACGGGTAACACAGCGACGAGTGGAGCCGGAGAAACTGGAACGCGAGGAAATGCACTGGAACTGGCAGGAACTGGAAGCGGGGGAGGTTCGAGAAGGTTTCTTCCACGCTGCCCAGGGACCCATTCCCCAATGGAGACTCAGGAGCAGCCAGGAACCCCCAGTCTTTCTAGAGCACAACTACAGCAAACTTCCACGTTGCAATCCAGAAGTGCAGCTGGCAATCCAGGCACCAACTGCTCCTCCCCAGCGGTATCAGCGATTGAGCAAATCAGCAGAATCAAACAGAGCCCCCCAAACATGGCTATAAATCAGGTTTCGGGCTCCTCGTGTGCTGGTGGCTGTGACAAACAAGAGAAAGCACCTTCTGCTCCAGCAGGTCCCGGCCAGGCCTGCGGGGCATCAACTGTCAGGGATGGAACAACTTGTGTCACTGTGTCCTCAGCAGATAGCAATGCCACCAAGGTAGCTCCTGCGGCCTTAGGAGGGACCGGCTCAGAGGTCCCCCAAGGCACATCTCCTTCCCATCTGATGCCTTCGCTGACCCCCACTAGCTCAGAAGCCCAGGCTGGAGGTGCGGTGGTGTCAGCTCCATCTGCCCCGTGCTCCATCACCTTGTCAGCAGCACCTAGCCTTAAAAGCCATCCGAGTTCAGGCGGGGCCCTCCCAAAAGCAAACTCCAGTATTCCTGCCAACAACCCTTTGGTCACCCAACTTCTTCAAGGCAAGAGCGTCCCTCTGGAGCAAATCCTGCCGAAGCCTCTCACCAAAGCAGAAATGAAAACTGTCCCATTAGCTTCTAATGAAGAGAAAGGGGCAGCAGCACCCGTTGTAGCAGGGAGTGGTGCTGGAGCCGAGGGTGAAAGGCAGTCGGGGTTATCCCCACAGCAGCTCGGGAAGATCTTTTGCCAGAGCAGGCCTCTGCCTCACATTCCAAGGACATTTGTGCTCCCTGCAGGAAAGGAGCCCAGTGCTGACCAGCACCCAGAGGCGCTCAGTAAAACAACGCAGGAGCAGATCCTTCAGACACTCATCAAGAGGGTCCACAGGCAGAATTTGCTCCCGGTCCTTCAGCCTTCCCAAGTGAACCTCGCGCACTCAGGTTTCCAGCTAGAAAACAGCTCCACCAGCCAGAGATTTGTGCTGGGTTTCATGGGCAGAAGGACATCCAAACCCGCTATGTCTGGTCATTATCTGCTCAACATTTCCACCTACGGCCGCGGTTCGGAGAGTTTGAGGAGAGGCTTCTCCTTGAACCCTGAAACCCGCTCATGTCTGAACAGCCCAGCCGGTGGTCCAAAAGCAGAATTTGGGGAATGTGAAGAGATGGCTGGCCATGGCAGCAGCAGTGAGGAAGGAGATGCGGACGATGAGAGCACTGGTGATGAACACGAGCATGTCAGCGTAAAAGAGGAGCCCCAGGCTTCCCAGGTGGCTGCTCCATGTGAAAAAGAACAGGTATCACAAGGTGCAAATTCCTCAGATTACAGCATCCTTGCTAAAAAGGGCATGAAGACGGAAGCAGCCGTGTCTCAGCAGGCAGCCGGCAGCAGGGAGAACATTCAGGAGTTGGATGGAACGGCGTTAGCACGAGATTTTATTCAGGCCGCTCAAGAGCAAATGGTGCAAACGGTGAAGGGAAAAACGCACAGCAGCCCTGAGCTCTTCAGCTCTTCTGCGCCGTCCTCAGACTCTGCGCAGCCACAGCTTCCCCAGCTTTCTCATCCCCACCCTCCGAAGCTGGGAGGAGATGCTGCGGCAGCGCAGCTCATCGGGCCCAGCTACAGCGGCACAATAAATGTCTCCACCTCCCCAGACGTGAACCAGGGCTCTCTCATGAGCGGGCTCTCTGAGTGCAATCAGTTGTCCAGTAGCATGGGGAACGTCATGTCCTTCTCTGTGACTGTAACCACCATTCCCACCAGCCAAGCCATGAACTCTGGCAACCACAGCCAGACCATCCCGGTTCAGGCCTTTGCTGAAGACAGCAGCATGGAGGACTCCCCTTCCAAGTGTTACTGCAGGTTGAAAGCCATGATCATGTGCAAGGGCTGCGGTGCCTTCTGCCATGATGACTGCATTGGCCCCTCTAAGCTCTGTGTCTCCTGCCTGGTTGTGCGGTAACCGGGACGTGACGTGGGAAGAGGAAGGCTCCATGTTGGGTTTGCTTTTGGAAGTACATTGGGAAGAAACAGGAAATTTACTGCCTTGCACAAGAGACACGTTACTGAATCAGGAATACAGAGTAGAGTTCTTCTTTCATTAAAGAAAGAGCACCTTCTTGTACAGTGAGTCTAAATTGAGCTCAACTACGTGAATTGTGACAAGAGTTTGCACTTAAGGAATTATGTAAATATGTCACATTATTTTGTTTAAAAATATTTTTTCAATCTTTTAGGAGATAGTGTTTGACTTGTACTGCAGTTCCATTAACCCTAGCCTGCTATCCAGCATGTTTGCTGAGCTCTGCTCTAGATGGGGTAACAATCCCTCAGCAAAACCTCAGCTGTTGGTCTTCTCTTGGCAAGGAGAGGAGCCAGGCAATCAAGGCACGAAATGTCTGTGCTGACAGAGCCCCACAGCCCCTCAGTGGGGTGCTGTGTTGCTCTGAACTTCAGATTGATCAGAATTGGAAGCCGCTGATGTTACACCAGCCTTCAAGAATGGCCCATCACCCACGGCATGGCCGTTCCCAGAAGGCATGCTGGGTTGTGCAATATTGGCTGGTGGTTTTGATTGCATATCCTCTCCTCTGCAAGGAGTCAGTTGCAGTAACCTCATTTTAAGGGCGGTAGTGTCTTGGTTTGCTGCTGAAAAAGGCAACTATACTAACCATAGGATACCAGAATTTAAATCACTAAACCAACTCAGTAACTGTGATGATTGGTAATCCCAGGAACCATTTAAAGCAGAGATCGCAAAGATGTGCTGAACTGCATTTCATTTCCAGACTGTCAGGACTCGGCAGAAACCTGCTTTATTAGGCATTATTTCAAGTGAGCTGGAAGGTGCCATCCCCACCATTGAGAACCATCACAGCACATTATGCAAGTGAAGTGCACTAAATGTCACCCTCTGTCCTACTGTTTTCTAGGAAGCTTACTGTGGCTCATTAAAAACTCCACGTAGTCAGACTTCTCTCATTTCTCTAAATTTTATATTAAGCTAAGTGTGGAAAACAAGCCTCTCGTTGGGCCTCACTGGTGTCTGGGCATCTCCATGTCTTTTGAAAACCAAATTGCCCCAACTGCTGGTTGCGCTCCGTTGTGGCCCAGTGCCGGTGTTCGCAATCCATTCTTTCCAATTAATCCAAATTAACAGTTACAAAATGGTACTATATGGTACTCAACAACAATAATTTTCGACAGGCTGGCTGACAGAGCATACTCCAGTCTGCATTCTGATGTAGTGCAACGAGCGTGCATTGCATGGAGGAGCTGTAGGTTACTTCTCTTCCCAGAAAACGTCAGGTTCACATCCAGTTCCATGTTGTCACTGTTGGGGGAGGGAGGGGGGCCATTCAAGATCTTGGTCAGGTAACAAATCTGTGTATGTTTTTGATGGAAAAGCACTGAATTCACTTTGAATCCAAAGGCCTTTTTAAGATGAAGCAATATTAACGAAAGAGGTGACGGCTGTTTTATGAGCTGGGGTCCTAAAGCCTTTTTCCTTCTTTCCATTTGACTGCACTGCTGCTTTCCCCGTTTCCCACACGTGGGAGCACTGAGTGTTTCTGCAGGGAGCGTAACGATAAAGAGAGTTGCAGGCTTAATCACTCGGCAGAGAATATTTCCTTCCCTGTCCAACAGAGCGTGGTATCCTCCAACGCAGGATCAGCACATCCTGGGATTTGATTTGCTCACCATGCATTGACTGGGGACCCAGTCTAACTCTGCATCACTCCTTAGGCATCCAGCGGTGGAAAGGATTTAACTATAGAAGTACAGTTGGGGATTTTTTTGAAACCACTTAAATCTTAAAAAAAATTACCCCTGGTTTTTCTGTTGTGCTGCACAAGCGTTGGCCACATCTGTAGCCCCATGGCTTTGGGTGCCCACCAGAGGGATGGCTGCTTCTCTGGGCTGGCTGCTATGGAAGAACTGACTTGGCCACATCGCTGCCTGCATCCCTCCTTCCTTTCCAATGGGCATCTCTCCATTGTTGGAATTTGTAGGGCGCTGAGGAGGTCCATGTGGTACCCCGGGCAGAGTAGGATCTTCCCTTGCCTTGTTAACTCGAGCCTTGAAGGGAAGCATTGCAGCCATGTGATCCTCCATGAGTCACATTAATTCTCTTCTAATGCAGATCCCCCAGTGTAACCCAGCCTGAAGGCTGTAGCTAGTTACAAAAGAAACTGAAAAAGTCAGTTCTGCCTCAAATAAAAGCCAGGAGTTTTTGCTTGGATCGATTCTGTTCACGCCTCAGCGTTCATCAGTAACTCTTCGTGGCCAACAAAGTGCTGCAAACAGGGAAAGGGAGGTGCTGAGGGAGCAGCACGCATTACTGCTTTGTGTTTGAGCATCCACATGTCCTCAGCATTTCCTAAAGCCACCCCCGACTCCCCCTGCAGCTCCAGCTCCTCACTGCCTTTATGTTTGGCAGGCGTTCCTCTGCAGCACACAGTTTGGTTTCTGCAACACGTACAGCAATAGGAAGTGGAGCTGGGCCAGGTTTGGACACAGGGTGACCACTGGGATAAGCAGGGCTGCCAGGCTGCTAGGCTGGATGGGAAACGTGGGCATCTCATGCCATGACTTGGAAGTTTACAAGTGTTCAGTGCCTTAGTTCTATTTTAACAGATGAGCATTTTTCCTGGGCTACTTCTACTCTATTCCTTTTTCAGACAGTAAATTCTTTTAACTGTCTTTGGTTTTACCATAGGCTATGAGGTACTAGGTGGAACTCGATGGAGTAACATCCACAGGTTTGCAAGAGGGCATGAAGTAGTCAGGAAATCATTAGGAACAACAGAGCTCAGTATAATAACCAACAGAAGTACAGGTCTGCCTGAAGCCTTGAAAGCTTTGCATGTTTCACAGTGCTGGTTGTTGAATAATGTGTTACAGAAAGGGAACATCCTGCAGCCCATGTAGCAGTGCTCCCTGCTGGCCTTACCTGTGTTAAACATAGTTTAAAACAACAGACTTTGGAGCCCAGGTATTAAATAATGGCATTCTATAGGAAATGTCATCGTTTTGCTGGGCATGGTAGTGATGAGTTAATGCTTGGATTTGATATCATAGAGGTCTTTTCCAACCTTAATGATTTTATGATTCTATAACAAATAAGATCTGATACTAAACATTTTACAAAGTCTAACATCAGACTCTTTGTGGCAGTAGAAGCAGCTTGAGTAGGAAGAGGTGCTCAGGTTTATACTTTCCCTCCTGAGCTGCAATCCAAGTCCTGCAGCGTGAGAACTAGAAATAGAAACTGAGCAATGGAATTTAACTTTCCAGTGCAAAAAAAACCCCACCTTGTTCAAGCTGTTTTAATGGAGGAGTGAATGCAACTCCACAGATGAGCTGAGGCTGTGGGATACAGTTTGGTAGCGTGGGGAAGGAAATCTGTTTGGAATTCTGATGCCCTTCTTAAATCAAAAGGAAAGACCAACGTGCTGAGCAGCTGCACGGTCAGTGGAGTTGTGTAGTGCATGGTGTTGGGTCACAGCTGGGAGGTGAGCTCTCAGGTTGGGACTGAAAGGGGACCTTCGTCCTGGGGCTGCGTCCTGCCCAACAGGAGCTGCCTTGGTCAGGCTGAGCTGTGGCTCTTCTGTGCCAACCACGCTCAGTCCAGCAGTGGTTTTGAACTGCGTGGGGGCTGGCATGGAGCCCTCCCACCTCGTGGTGAAGGTAATTTGGGGTTTTGTTCAGGGAAGTGCCCAGAAGACCAGTGGTCGCTCTGTGTTGGATGCTGAAACCCTGGGAAGGCTCCTGTCTTCTCTTGGGATTAGCTCAGGCTCAGCTGTCCAAAGCCCCCATCATGCAGTCATGGCTGAGTCAGCCCAGGAGCGTGCTGGGCTCTGCCCAGGGCTTTCAGCTTCCCAAATCCCATTGTAGGTGTGCAGGAGGCTGCAGGGAATCCCTCCATGGGGTTGGCAGTTCCATTGGTGTGGCAACGGAGTCCAACCAGGCGAGCATCTCAGGCGCTTGCTGCGATCACAACATCCGCAGTTCTGTTCCTTAACAGGGGTTGTTTTTTTTTTAATGCTATACATTTGATATAACTGAAGATCAATTTTAAGAGCTTACAGTAATATATTTTAAGTAATATATATTTTAGTATCTGTAAAAAAAAAAAAAAAAAAAAAGACAAAGGATGATTTATGAACTAGATGAGCAGGGTATAGAGAGCATGCAGTTTCTCAGCAAGGCCATGGAGTTTCACTAGCAGGAGAACTGGAAAGATTCCGTTTTGTCCATTGATGCAATAAATGTGGGAGTTCTTAAAGAGAAGAAATCCAATACTGTTTACCACGAGCTTTTCTGGTTTCGACAACAGGCCTGTAAACACAGCTAGAAGATGCTGAACCTTTGTCTGTCTTTCGCCTTTTTAAAAGGGACTTAAATTGGAATAGAGGGTATGTACAGAAAAATCGAGTTGACACCATTTTAAAATGTATTTTTACACAAATAATATAGAAAAATCATATTTTACGTAAGAATTTTAAGTATTTGAAATATGTATATATATACTGTATGTACTTCATATATTCTTTATTTTACATTTACAGTGTATTAAAAAGTATTTGAGCTGGTTGGATTTGAGCATGTAATAATGTTAAAAGGGAAAAAAAAAGAAAAGAGGGAGGGAGGACACGAGGAGGGAGGCTGCAGGGAAAGCAGGAGTTCAGCACTGAAGGAATCTGGAAGAGTTTTGCAGCTTCAGATGGAGCGTACAGAACCTTTTCAGTCCCGTGTCCTTTTGTGTTCCATTGGTATCCGTTCCTTTTGCCTCACAGCCACCCAGCAGAACCCACGGTGAGGAGACAAGTTGAGGTGGATCCTTTCCATAAGCAATGCTACCTTCCTAGCCAAAGAGACACACTGGTACAGAAGCTGCTCAACCAAAAGAGAATCCGAAGCGACTCAGTTTTGCTGTGCCATTGGAATGGTGATCAGTAGCTCAATTGCTGTGTGAGCACCTTAGGGTGCTGATGGGGAATTTAAACAACATACCAAAAGTCCAGAAGAAAGAAGTCCAGAAGAATGGTTGACAAGTCAGGTTTTAAAGTACAAATCTGAAAACTGAAAAGGTGGGCAACTGGTATTTTTATACCACATCGGCTGTCATTGGAATCTCTTGGAAACAAGAGGATGGAACCCAGTATTTTGTCAAAATTTGCTGTCTGCACGTTGGTGGGGTTTTCACTCTGAACAGTTGCACCCCACTGGTGGGTGTGCATATAGGGGCTGTGCAGATGTGTGTGCATCTGTATAGGTGTGCACAGCTGCACTGGCCATGTGTACGTAGCAGGAGCAGCTCCACCTCAGCCTTGTGCTGACATTATACCTTGGGATGTGAGATGGAATTAGGGCTGTTTCATATTTGTTTTCATATTCAAGATATATCGGGTAGCCAAAATATATACTAGTGGTGTGTTTGGATCTGCTGCACTTTGACAAACAGACAACATTCCTTATTCCCTTGGTACTGCTGCATCTCCCATTCCTCCTTACCCTAATTTCAACCTTACCCAGCCGGTCTCCTGTTAGCAGATGCTGCACTGTGCATTGCTCAGGGCAGGGCTGTGCTCTCAGCCCACCTGTAGCTGTGATGTGGAAGGTGTTGTCCCATTGTCTCAAGCAGCAGGGACTGAGGTTCTGGTTACAATCTTTTATTGTGTGCCTGGAGGTGTGCAAGGGACGTGCCTGCCAGCAGCCACATTTGCTGATGGGTGGTAGCTCCCCTCCTTTGCCCTAAATCTGTGCAGCCATGAGTCCTCACCCTGCTCCTGTCTGCTTGAAGAGTCAAATTTCAGTTACAAATCTGGCAATTGAGATGGAAAAAAAAAAGGGGGGGGGATTAAGTAATGTAAGCTGTAGGCATTTAAAACCGTGTGGGCCCATTCCTGCAAAGGAGCAAGACAGCAGGGACAGCCGTGGTTTGTCGTGCTGCAGCTGTGCCTCTTGCCAAGGGTGTTTCCTCAACACGTCACTCATTTTGCTGTGTAAGCTTCCACCTTAGCTTCTCAGCAGCATTAAGAGGGATCAGAGGAGTGCTAAAAACAGCCAGTTTCTAACCTGTCACTTGAAGATCTGTGCCCCTAGGAGGTAGCACTTGGACAAGCAAAAGCCTGCCCCATGGCTTCTGTCCTACTGCAGATTCCGTTCCTTTTCCTCTCACTTCTTTTTGTCATGTAAAACTACCTGCTTTATAAATGAATGTAAAATACCGTAGTTCTTCAGCACATGGGCAAATGTGTATTTTATCTTCATGTTTCATTTTATGTTAAATAAAAGGCAATGGTTTTATGGCCATTAGTGCTGCTAATGTTGATTTTTCAGTGATTACCTTTTGTTTTTTTAAGGGACCCCCATGAAGAGCAGTGAACTACGTTTCTTAAAACTGTAATCACTAAACAACTCAATGCAGTCAGTGGGACTGAGGTGCCTGGGAATGCATAGGAAGCCTGGGACTGCTTCTCACTGAAATATTACAAGGTTAGATATAAGGAGAAAGCCTTTTACAGTGAGGATGGAGAGGCTCTGGAACAGAATACTTAATAATGTGGTTGATGCCCCCATCCCTGGAGACTTTAAAGGCTAGGCTGGATCATGTGTTGGGCAACCTGTCCCTGTTCCTTGCAGAGGGGTTGGACTAGATGGCCTTCAGAGGTCCCTTCCAACTCTAAGGATTCTATGATGCTCTGCAAGGCACTGGAAGTTTTGAAGTAAAATCTACTTGGAGAGGAAGCAATGCAATCTTGCCTAAGGTTTGTGCAGACTAATCCAGTGTAAGTGGTTTTCTGCTCAGAAAAAGTAAGGTGTATCTTCAGTAATACAAATGGTACAGGAAATTATGTGGAAAACTGGTAGCAAAGCTTGAGAAAATGAATATAAAATAAAGAACTGGTTTAAAGGGTCTTTATATGGATAGGCCTAAAGCAGGAAATCAGTTTGGATGGAGGATTCGACTGAAGTGTCTCATTCTGGCCATGAATCTTAAAGATTTTTATCAGTGATATCAGCACCAAAAGACAGGAATATCCCAAGAATATGAACTGATAACACAGATTTAGGAAATCTCAGCAATGTGCACACGGACAAAATTGGTAATCTGCAACTCAAAGTGAAGCCCAACTGCACATGAAGGTGTCTGGGAGCAACAACACAACCTGCTGCTCCAGGAGTGGATGCACAATAACTGGAGCAGGACCTTGACATACTAATTAATAATATCTTGTAATTAGAAGCTGTCAGTGTGATTTAGCTATGGGGAAGGAAAAACAAAAAGTCCAGCTTGTATATTGCCAGCAGAGAGAAAATCAGCGCATTGTCCAAGGCAATGAGGCACTTACTGTGTGTGCCTCTGCTCCCCTGTGTTCAAGAATGACTGCTTCAAACTGGAACAGATGTGCTGAAGGACTTGAAGGTAACCAGAAAAGGACAAATCCCTGACAGGTAACAAAGAAGCCAAAAAGTGCAGGTTAAAGAACAAAAGCTACAAAGGGTATCGTAGTGCATCTCCACCAAAGCATTGGGCTTAGTGCTCTAGGAAGCATTTAATGGACCTGTTATCCTAAAGAAAAGACTTCTAGAGTCCAGGCATTTTTTATAAGCATTTTAAATTACTCCTTTCATTGACTTGCCTGCGTTAGTGGTGATGTCACGTCATCAGCACTGCTTTTCCATCTGTTTTGTTCTAATCTTTAATGGTTATATCTCATTATTACTGTACCATCTCAGTCCCACAGGGTTGGAAGCAACCTTTAATATCATAGAATCATAGAATGGCCTGGGTTGAAAAGGACCACAATGCTCATCTAGTTCCAACCCCCTGCTATGTGCAGGGCCACCAACCAGCAGACCAGGCTGCCCACAGCCACATCCAGCCTGGCCTTGAATGCCTGCAGGGATGGGGCATCCACAGTCTCCTTGGGCATCATCCAGTTCCAACCCCCTGCTAGAGGCAGGGACACCTCCCACTACACCAGGTTGCTTCTCGAGCTTTGTCTTTTCTGCTTTACTTCATGTAATTAATTAGTTGTTGTATTTTTTTATTAAAAGAATAAATAAATCTGTAAGCCTTTGTTAGCCCCACTCGGGAAGGGAGAGGATGGATGCAACCCACAGTTAGGAAGCAGTGCAGCCCAAAATCTAAGTAGCAAAGGTTGCTGCCCAGAGGGGCTGTGGATGCCCCATCCATCCCTGGAGATGTTCAAGGTTGGATGGGGCCCTGAGCAGCCTGGTCTGGTATTAAATGTGGAGGTTGGTGGCCCTGCATGTGGCAGGGGGGTTGGAGCTTCATGATCCTTGAGGTCCCTTCAACCCGGGCCATTCTGTGTAATTCTGTGAAAGGTTGTCCCTAGAAATGCTCCTATGTGGTTATCACCAATGAGTGCCTGTTTCCTAAGCAATCAGTGCCTTCCTACACTGGTTTTCCTCCAGCTCTCCATGCAGCTCTTCAGAGTAATGAATCTGCTGCACTAAGTGCCCTGGAAGGGAACTGTACAGAGGCCATCCTGTTACATTTGGACACTTCATCTCTGTTTTAACTGAACGTTTAATAATCGTTATCTGGTTTGTTTTGTTCTCTGCCAATTTGCAATTAAAAAAAAACAAAAAAAAAACAAAAAAAAACCAACCCAAAACTTGTGAGCAAAAGAAACGCTGCAGAATCAATGTCTAAATATAGAGAAGCACACCCATGGCTCAAGCAAGGTAATTATCTTGTCACACCAGAAAGGAACAAAAAGGAGGCTGTTCCTCTCTCCTGATCTCAGCTTCTGCTTTATCTCAGTTGCTGTGTTGGCTGTTAAGTGGGGATACGTGTGAGGAGGAGCAGCTCAGGACACGCAGCTGGAGGTACGTCTCTCTACATGTATGTACGTATTCTCAACCTTACCTTTTGCTTGTGCTTCTTTCGGGCTGACCTCGTTTACAGCCAAATGAATTTAGACTCAGAGCCTCCTGACTTCTGGGCACTGGGGTTGCAGGAGTTCAAGTGCATGAATGAGTAAATGCAGAAGTCCATTTGTTGTAGTGGTGAAAGATAGAGTTTTTTTTCCAAATGGTTTCACTGTTAGCTCCACCTCGAGCTGAACAGAAAGACAATTTTCAGACTTGAAAAGCTGTAAATGAATTTTAAGCACACGTTGCCCCATCCTGGTTTTTGCTGGGGCAGAGTCAATGTTCTCTGCTGAGGCTCTCGCGGTGCTGTGATTTCGTACCTCACCTTTCAGCCAGCAGCTCCCATCTGTGCCACATTTTGCACCATTCCTCTCTGAGGAAAGGTTTTCCCCTGGAATGGCTCTGGTGGCAGCTCATGGCTGGTGGGCTGCTCCCTCTCCTGGGGTCTCTGTGGTTCAGGTTGGATGTCAGGGGAAGTTCTTCACAGAGAGAGTGGTGAGGTGCTGGAACAGCTGCCCAGAGAGGCTGTGGATGCCCCGTCCATCCCTGGAGGCGTTCGAGGCCAGGTTGGATGGGGCAGCCTGGGCTGGTATGAAATGTGGAGGTTGGTGGCCCTGCAGGCAGCAGGGGTTGGAGCTTCGTGATCCTTGAGGTCCCTTCCAGCCCCGCGTGAGTTCAGCACGTTGAAATCCCACCTCCGAGTCCCCTCAGCGCCTTGAGGAGCAGCGCTCACAGCTCACTGCGCCTGCGCCGCAGACGGGAGCGCGCGAAGCCTCGCCGGCCGTTGATTGGCTGGAGAGCACGAGCGCTCCCGAGGACGGAGAGTTCGTCTGATTGGCTGAGGGGCGGTGCGAACGCACGCACGTCCGCCGCCGGAGAAGCGTCCGCCCGGCGATTGGCTGCGACGGCGAGGAGGCGGGGCGAGGCTGGAGGGCTCGCTCATCCATTGGCTCGCGGCGGCGGAGGGCGGGGTGGGATTGGCCGGAGGACGCGCGCCCCCGCGGAGGCGCCCAGCGATTGGCTGCGCGCCGTGAGGCGGCCGGGGACCGTTGGAGCGGGGACGCCGAGGCGGAGCGGCGGCCGCGGGCCGGGCGGAGCGGGGCGGCCATCCCGGGAGAGAGGTGCGTGGGCTCGGCGGGCGGCCGCGGGACGATCCGGGTTCTCCGTCGGGGTCGGGCTGCGCAATTAGCGGGGCGTAATTGGAGCGGGCGGAGCTCACGGCGCTCTCGGAGCCGAGAAGCGGGGCGGGCGGCGCGGTGCTTCGCTGCTGGTAGACGCGGCTCGTCCCGCTGCCCCGTGCCGGGTGCGGGTGGCGGCACATCGCAGCCCTTCGTGCGGCGACTTGGAGCCCCTCCTCTTTGCATGCAGCGGGAAGTTGAGTTTCAGCCTGAGCAGAAGAGCCGTGTGGTTTTTCACGCAGCTCGATGGTGTTATGTTTTGTGTTTGTGGGGTTTTTTTTCTTCCTCGCGTGGTTGTTTGCTTGTTTTTCAGGTTGTCCCTTCGATGTTGGCAGAATTTGCTGAGGTGGGCGCTGCCCTGCGAGGCTCCGTGTGCCAGCCAGGTAATGCTGGGCTGGGTGTGTGCAGCTGTGTCTGTGAGCTCATCCACATCACAGCATCCCTAGGGGTAGGAAGGGACCCTTAAAGGTCTGGCTGAGCTCCACACGCAGCCCCATCAATGCTCAGAGCTCCACGCACAGCCCCATCAATGCTCAGAGCTCCACGCGCAGCCCCATCAATGCTCAGAGCTCCACACACAGCCCCATCCGTGCTCAGAGCTCCACGCACAGCCCCATCCGTGCTCAGAGCTCCACGCACAGCCCCATCCGTGCTCAGAGCCCACCCAGCCTGACCTTGGCTGTCTGCAGAGATGTCACCCCCTCTCTGGTACAACCTGATGGACTTGGAGAGCCATGCTGCTGTGCAGGGCTCCCTTTCTTCGTTGATTGGTGAGCCCCAGATGGGCTGGGAGTCACTTTGCCAGTGATTTTTGTGTGCTGCTTGAGAACACTGAGAGCACCCGAGCCGCTGCCGTGAGTTTGGTTAATAGCTGTGCAGTGCTGCCCTTTAAAAACACTTTGTACTTTCAGTTTTCTTATTCGTGTTCTTGAAACTGAGTGTGCAGTGTGTCAGTTTCTGTGTTCTGCTGTTGGCTGCTGTGGCTGTCTGGGCAAAAAATGTTAAAATTCTCATTTCCACGTTGGGAAATTTGAGAAATGTTGGCCTGAAGAATTACTCGAGTTGTTTTTTTTTTTTTTTTTCCCTCCAGTCTTTTGTTGGGTAGTGTATGTGATGCTGTACTGCCAGGTGATATTACAAAGTAATATTTGGGCACCTCAGTACAGAAAGGACATGGAGGTGCTGGAGCAGGTCCAAAGAAGGGCAGCAAGGCTTTGTGAAGGGCTTGGAGAATATGCCCTATGAGGAGAGACTGAAGGATCTGGGGCTATTTAGTCTGGGAAAAGGAAGCTGAGGGGAGACCTTATTGCTCTCTTCCAATATCTAAAAGGTGCTTACAGCAGAGCAGGGCTGGTCTCTTCTCACTGGTGACAGGTGACAGGACGAGGGGAAATGGCCTCAAGTTGCACCAGGGTAAGTTTAGGTTGGATATCAGGAAACACTTCTTCACAGAAAGGGTTGTTAAGCATTGCAATAGGCTGCCCAGGGAGGTGGTTGAGTCACCATTCCTGGATGTGTTTAAAGTCCATTTGGATGTGGTGCTCAGGGACATGATTTAGCAGAGGGTTGTTAGATTTAGGGTAGTATGGTTAGGTTGTGGTTGGACTCAATGATCTTTTAAGGTCTTTTCCAGCCTGAGCGATTCTATGATTCTATAAAGTGCACTCAGAGGAATGGAGGTAACCCAGAAGTGTCTGAGGCTGTTGCTTTCTGTGTTTCCAAAGGATGTTTTAGATTAATGGAGAGCTTTGGTGAAAGGGTGTTACTGACCAGCAGCTAGTGAAGATGGAAAGAATTAACCGCTGTAGGGCAGTTCCAGCAGTAACCTCTCACCAGAATGAGTCTGTTAGTGAGGCTGGCTGTGGTCTGTGCTGCACTTCCTCCAAAGATATTTGCCAGACTGCCCAGTTCACCTTATGATTCCAACGTTGTTCTTCTGAGCCTTGCAGTCCTGCTGTGCTTTCCTCTGCAGCTGCCAGGAGAAGCTGTCCCAGGCTGTTTTTGCTTAAATCTTCCCTGGGATTTTGCTGCTTCTCTTGCAGAGGGTTCTTGTCTTCATTTTGCAGATCTCTAAGAGCCCTATGAGCCCCCAGCCTGACTTGTTCATTACAGTCCTGTGTTGTTGGGAATGCAGATGCTGTGGTAGCAGTAGACACTCAGGATTGCCCTCAGCTCCTGCTTGCTTGCAGTAGGCTGCTTCTCCTCTTGCAGGCAGTTTGGAAGGGCAAACTCCTGCTGTCTGTGAGGCTCCTGCTGTCTGTGAGCTTTCTCATTCATCACATTATTTATCAGTACTGACATAAATAACAGTGGTGAATGGTATAGAAAACTTAGGTAGAAGCTGGGATGCAAAAAGAACAGCTTTTGTGGCATCACTGGTAAAACACAGGCTTTTTCAGTCAGCCTATATATACTGTGCACTCAATACCACAGGGTGGCATTAAGAGTGGCAGCTTCCAATTCCTCGTAACCAGGATCCTTCAGGGAGGAGCTTTGTGCTTCCACTCATCTGCTAGCTGTTCTTCATACAAGCGTTTTATTGCTCAAAGAAGGCTCTTTGCATATCATTTCCTTTTAAAACTCCTTTTACAAGGGAAGGGAACTCCCTTAGCACAGCTGTGGGCAGTCTGTAGGGTCAGTGCTGCCATTGCAGCTGCACAATGCTTTGGTAGGAAAGGAGAGTTTTCCAGTTGGTAGAGTTCTCAGAGTTCCCCTCTGAGCACAGCCTGCTTCTCTTAGCATTATCACTTTTTAACTTTGTGTTTTCAGGATTATTTGGTGATAAGGACTCAAATTTGTAACATTTATGTTGAGTTATATTTTAGGTTTTTCTCTCAGTGCCAAAGAAAAGAAATCATGATTACAAAGTATACATTTGGTTTAGTGTTTAAATAGGTTCCTACTGATAACCTGTGGCTAAACTTAGCTTTGTGGCTCTCTTGCAGTCATGTGGGCTTTCAAGGCTCACCGGAAGGAATGGAAGTGTTTGAACCTCTCAACTGTGCTAAAGCAATGCATGTAATATGTAACAAAACGTGCCAATGAACCTTATAGGTAGACTTAATTTGGAAGACACAGGAAGGGGCTTTGTGATGTGCTATCTGTTGGGGAATTTGTGCTGGCCAACTTATGTATTTAAAAATGAATGGAGTTGCAATCGATACCCACTTGTATCTCAGTTTTTAATAGTTTGAGTGTATGAAGTAGGCACTATTAAACACTTAAAAAGTTATTAAAGGAAATCATTTTTGTGTTCTTGGTCCCTGTGCCCAACTTCTGTGCATCCTTCCCTTTTTGAAGGGCGCTTCTAAACAAGAGGGGGAACGGCTGTTTATGAAGGTGGATAGTGATAGGACAAGGGGGAATGGTTTTAAACAGAGACAGGGGAGGTTTAGGTTAGATATTAGGAGGAAGTTTTTCACCCAGAGGGTGGTGAGGCACTGGAACAGGTTGCCCAAGGAGGTTGTGGATGCCCCATCCCTGGAGGCATTCAAGGCCAGGCTGGATGTGGCTCTGGGCAGCCTGGTCTGCTGGTTGGTGACCTGCACATAGCAGGGGGTTGGAACTGGATGAGCACTGTGGTCCTTTTCAATCCAGGCCATTCTATGATTCTTCCCCTAACTTGCTGGGGAGCTGATCTGACTGTATGATGCATGCTGAAGCATGCAGTGCTGTCCTTAATAGCTTGTGGTTTTCCTGTTTGGCATGCTTAACATTTCCCTCTACTGAAACTCTGTATGCAGAGGTACATCCCTGATGTATCACTTGGTGCCATTCCCTTGTACCTTTCTTATCTTCTGTGCCTTTGAGAACATCAGCTGCAAAGCTTTGCTGTTGCTCTGTGTCACTGCCTTTCCCTGCCCTGGCATTGCCCCAACAGATCCTGAGGGCACAGATTTGTTGCTGTTCCATGCAGTGCACAAATAGTTAGAATGCAGGCACTGAAACATTGCTGTGCTGAAGTGTTGTAGTCATGCAGGTGGGCTGGAGCTCTAACTGAGTATAGATGGAGTGGTGCAGTGGGCCTTCCTTAGCACTGCTTTTCTTTCCAAACTGCTTGATTGCCCATTAACTGAAAGGAAAGGTACTGTATCATATCTATGTGCTTTTTGCTAAATCTTCTCTAGAAGTAGCTCCTGATCCACTGTATTTAAATAAAATTAACAAACATACTCGGGAAAGAGTGGCCTCTAAAAGAGTGGTCAGGCACTGCAATGGGCTGCCAAGGGAGGTGGTGGAGTCACCAGCCCTGGAGGTGTTCAAGGAACATTTGGATGTTGTGCTGAGGGACATGGTTTAGTGATATCTATTGGTGATGGGTGGATGGTTGGACTGGGTGATCTTGTAGGTCTTTTCCAACCTTGGTGATTCTGTGATTCTGCTCTTCTAAACTGCCATCCATTATAGCTTGTGAAGATCTTCAGCAAGCATTTGAGCTTTGTTAGGGATCCATAGAACCAGAAGGTGTGTGTGGTTCTTCATGGATGCTCTGTTTGTTGAGTTGATGTAGATATTGAGATAACATATCAAATATGATTATGTATATGCACCATTATTTTTGCTTTAATGAATTCCATTCAGGGTTGGGAACTGAGTTTGAAATTGTAGTTGAACTAGAAGAATGATCAGAAGTGTGTAAAATATGCTTTAAAGAAGGCGTTGGAGATCTTTTAGCATGAGTGGCTGTTCTTTTTCTCTGCTTGAGTTTCCATTGAATGGTTTGGATTGGAAGGGACCTTAAACCTGTTAAATACGTGCCCCTGAAATAACTTCTAGAGCTCTTTTTTTTTCCTGGTAAGAGGATTGGTGAAGTAAAGAATCATAGTATGAATCATAGAATGGCCTGGGTTGAAAAGGACCACAGTGATCATCTGGTTCCAATTCCTGCTGTGTGCAGGGTCACCAACCAGCAGACCAGGCTGCCCAGAGCCACATCCAGCCTGGCCTTGAATGCCTCCAGGGATGGGGCATCCACAGCCTCCTTGGGCAACCTGTGCCCAACTTTTAATGGATTACTTTTAATGGAGTACTTTTAGTGGAGTACTTTTGATCACTTACATGCATTCGTGTTTGACTGCTGATGAAAGGGAGATCAGAGTTTGAGCCACATGAGAATGGAAGGTGAAGAGAGGAGCAAGGAAGTGGGGCAGCAACATTGTCACGTTTAGACTTTAAGATAAAACAAACTGTTGAAAATCATTGACATCAAATGAAAACAGGAACCGTGGAAGTTTAGAAGCTGAAAGAAATGAACATGAGGTTGCTAAACAAACTCAAATTTAATCTTTCATAAATGAACTTGTATTTGTGTTCTGGGTAGCTGATGGAGCTGAGCATTTTGTCATACAAACAGTGCCTGATAGCGGTTATCAGATCTTCAGGT